GAAAATTGTATACCTGTCTGTCAAATAATTAGAGAGGGTGAGATTGAAATGTGGGAATGATTTATGGTGGAAGAGAAAATGGTTGCAGAGGTTAGAGAATTAGAGAACGAACGAAAAGAAAATTGGGGGTAGAATTTATCAGGAGAATCAAAGAAGATAATAGAATTGCGGTGCACGAAGATAATTCCACTTTGCCACATTTAACACTCACTTACGTTCGATACACAGTTTATTACAGGAGGCTATGAATCACGGTACTTATTCAAGCACAAGTTGATTTACGAAGGCTGTGCTCGTTGAAATTGCTTATTTTCACCGAGAGGGAGAGAAAAGAGGGGGGGGGAAAAAAAATAACAAACACGACAGGAAGGACGGTGGACAATTTTATATGCAAAACAGCGGCCCGATGCTGTCGCAATAAATCCATCTCGACTAGAATTTCATTATGCATGCCGGGGTCTACGAGGAGCATCTAATTTGAAGTTTTCTAACGGTCGACCACGTATCGGATATTCTGATTCATAGAGACCATCCTGCAGATGTTACCTCATGACATCTGAATTGTAAAAAGACGCGGTTATTAAAATTGGAATTTTATATATCCCGCTACTCCGACAACCGTTAGATTATTAATGAAATTTTTCCGTCCACGGCGGGATCACTTCGTCGATCGTTCTGCCGACGGTTTTATGGAAATATTAATATCATGTCGTGAAAATTGCCGTAGAATAATCTGCTCAGCACCTTGGTCCATTCTACAGGATATATACAACCTTCGATTGTTGTACAATATAACAGAAACGTGTTATACAATATTCTACCAAGTTTCACGTTGATCTTTTATGATTTCTATTCGATACTAATTGCATGACTTTGACGATCATACCTAATGCAAAACGACGCATTAGTGAAGACCAGAAGTGACCTATAATCCATATCTCATTTTAAAGACGAGCAATCCAACGAATTTATAGAACGAACGTCAATCTCTGTAAGTAGAATAGGTCCGTATATGGTCAGACATCGAGCAAGTAACCGAAGCGTATAAGATACCCGGCTAAAAGTGTCGAAAATGTGGAATGCAGAAGGTCGACGTTGTACAAGTGAAACTTTCGGATGAAAGAGGAGGAGGGTAGGTGTATTTTGAGTGTCGGAAAGATAAATCAGTCGCCTGGAGGCGCCAAGGTTTCGGATAGCTCGCGGTTAGAACGTGTTTCGCGAGGAATAACAGCAACTGCGGCGCAAACGGTGAATTCCAACGGGCGTGGGTTTATAAATGATGCAGACCAATCTGTCCGTGGTGAAAGGACGCGACGTCTTAACCCAGAAATCGTAGGTGAGGTATCGCGGGCGAAGGAAACGGATCGTTCTCGTGGAAAGACGTCATCGACGGTGACCTGGCTGTTCGGCGTGCTCGCGAGCCACGTCTGCTTATAAAAAATGCATCGGCTATTTTGCAAGGCAAACGTTTGCCAAGCGGAACACTTGGCTGGCGCGCCTTTGTCGATGATTTTCGCCGAACGACAAACAACCTTTCGTGTTTTTACGCCCTTAAGGAGCTACGTACACTCGGATGGGGGTCAGGGAGGCGATCTTTTAAAAAATGTTTTCACGTTTCCTGTCAAATCCGGCGAACGATAAAGTTCCGTAAAATAAACGACGTTTGTTCGTTTGCTTGAAAAATTAATTACTCCTCTTTCGCTTTAGTTGAGAACTGCAATTCATCAGCGGGGATCAAATGTGAGATAAAATTTCGGAGATAATTAAATAACAGTAGTAAAAATATACAGCTCTCTCTCTCGAAAGAGTATCGAGACAAAGTTAAAATGCTTCGCGAAGTATCATTGAAGTATTCTTCCATTTGCTAATTAGAGCTTCAACGTGGACAAATTTTTATTTCGACCAACTTTCAGCTCCCGACTTGTGAAAGATTGTACGCCACGAAGCGTGAACAGTTGCTGTTACGAGTTTCATGCGAGATATCTCTCCTTTTGCCCACAGAGAGCAGACCTGGCCGTCGCGTCTATGACGATCAATTACGCTCGGGAGAGCGTGATAGACTTCACCAAGCCATTCATGAATCTCGGTATCGGAATTCTGTTTAAGGTGAGTCGCTGTTGTCCTTCCCCTACTCCACGATATAATCAACTGTATAATTATGTAATTTCACGACGCGAAGTAGCATTATCCCTCGAGAATCTCGTTCTAGCAAACGCAAACACTTTCGAAAGCCTACTTAACCCTTTCGATACTAACGACTATCGTTTTGAAACGACTATCGTTATTTACATCACATTGCACGGCAAAATTGAACTGCTGTACTCCTTATCCGGCAAAGAGGCGTTCACATCGTAGCTGTCCCATTCAGTCGCAGCGTATTCGCGATAAAACTGTCCGTTCAACGAAGTCACAGTGGCCAAAGACGAAGCCGTATCGAAAGGGTTAAACTTCCTCCTAACTCTACATGGAAGAATTCTGAAAAACCGTAAAAAAAAAAGGCATCGAGAATATTGACGCAGTGTCTAGTGCAGATACGCGAGATTTTCGATGGGGAGACCGAATCCGGCAGCGTCTGAATGTCGCCGGCAAAAAGGCCCCGTCTGACAGGCGGGAGAAGCGGCACGGGATCCGTTTTAATTAAAATCGTAGCGTAACGTAATTTAGGTGCCCTCCAGCCAGCCAACGCGGCTGTTCTCCTTCATGAACCCGCTCGCCGTTGAGATCTGGCTGTACGTGCTGGCCGCGTACATGCTGGTAAGCTTCACCCTCTTCGTTATGGCCCGATTCAGCCCGTACGAGTGGAACAATCCGCATCCGTGCCTCGCGGAGAGCGACATCGTCCAGAACCAGTTTAGCGTCAGCAACAGCTTCTGGTTTATCACTGGCACGTTCCTCAGGCAGGGCAGCGGGCTCAACCCCAAGGTACACTCAACGAGGTGCTCCGCCACTGGACTATTTCTGCCGTTTCGATTGCTTCCTCCTCGCTCCCTCCACTTTCCCACCGAACACACCCGCTACCGATACTTTTTTACTACTTCGACGAGTTCGTCCGAGGGATTCTTAAGGGATTTGTAGGAGATAGAGGCGGCAGAGGTGGAAAGAGGTTCTCTGCGAGGGTGAAGGAAAGTTTAACGGTTGATTCGGAGGGTGATTTCGGGATAGAACGTTCTGTGACACTTTGCTCCTAGTTGGACGCCTGTGAGAATGGTTCTAGAGTGTCCGAGTGTCTCGAGTTTATGAAATTTTCACTTTTCCGGAGAGTTTTGTGAAATGTGCTCGGGAAGCTTAAGGTATCCTAAACGATCTTGAATTTTGGATCACGAACTCTTAGAATCTGCTACTAATGTTTCGAAAGTAGAATGAATTTGATCGATGATCGATTAAATCTAAAACAATAACTGTATCGTTTGCATTCATCTTCCATTCCCTCTGACATTCTTCCCAAATCCACGACTCCATTTCTGGAAGCATGTTTCGATAGACGAGCAAAGCGAGCAAGCGGTTAAAGAGAAATCAGAAGCTGTCACGTCTGGAGGCACCGATTGTCGTCACGGTGGATTCCACGGAGAATTCGAAACAGTCCGGGCGAGACGGTGTCGCGTATTACGCTCCAGATTCGCCGGGATCGTAACCCAAATCGCGCCGAGTCGCGCCCCAATTTCACCCGGTGACTGGAGAAACGAATCTGACGGAACGTGAGAGAATGAGAGTAAGGGAGAAGGGTTGAAACGAAAGGATAAAAGGAGCTGGTCCAGCGGTTAAACTCTGCCGCGTGTTCAGCTTCGTTCCATTGTGGCTCTCCTGACGGCTCGGAGAATAAGAAAAGGGGATCCGTGATTTCAGCCAGATAAAGAATCGCCTTGCGGCCTATTCACGACTGGCAGAGCAGCAGGACTATCAGTTCGCCGGAAAAAAAATACTGAATAAACGACGCGAAAGAACAGAAAAAAAAAAAAAGAGAAAGACAAGGAGAAGACAAGGTTTCTCTTCGCGGGGGATTGCGAAACGACGAGAAATTTAGTCAACGAATGGGGAGAGGTTCTTTCTGTTTTTGTAGGCTGAAGAAGGGAGGATTTATTCACGGGCTGAAAACTAGGGAACAGTGATTCGGGGACCAGTAATCCGGAAATACGTGTAATTGCTTCAGGTTTCCGGGCGAATGCCGTCGAGGCTGTTCTCGTTCATGAATCCCCTCGCCGTGGAGATTTGGTTATCCATGCTGGGTGCTTACATGATGGTCTCCGTAACGATTTGGATAGTGGCGAGGTTCTCGCCTTACGAATGGGTCGAACCGACACCCTGTCCGAGCTGCAAATGTCCGCTGCAGGTAGGCTCTCGTCGAGTGGTGCGGGGAGACCGATTGAATTTCTCGTCGTTGTCAGACGAAGTAACGCGGAAGAGTCGTGAAATATTGGATCTGTGCAAAATTGGTGTGGAATCGAGGCCTCTGCGTCCATCACCGAAAGCAAAACGGCGAGAAATACCGAGGGCGTTTTGGTAAAGGGCGTAGAATTCTGGCTCGCCGGCCGGAGATTGTCGGTTCTCGATTCCTGGATCCCCTCATTTTTCGTGCTTCGTTAATTCTCGTTAATTCCAGCAACGTACGGAGGTGAAAATATGTAAAATTCGCTTTGTGGAATTAATTGCAACATCGTCGAAATTTCTGGTTGCGCAGAAACTTTACAGAGAGAGACTTGTAATATCGTTAAAGCGGCTCGGAACCGCCACGAATAGTTCTGACGTATTCGCAACATTGTTGCGCGATCGAAAAGCTCTAGGAAACTCTGCAGGACGTTTTCTACGGTATCGAGGTACTTAACGTTATCCAGCGATTCTCAGGAAGGATTCTACGAAGCTTTCAGATATCGCATCGAATTTGAGAATCGCTCAGATTTCCTGCATGCTTATGCAACTGTATCTCGCTGGGAATAATTTGAACAACTTTCAACAAAGTCGAATATCATTGCAGAATCTAAAATTTCTTTGGACACTCTCCAGAATGATCAGTAATATTCCTGACGCGCTATAAATCATTCTGAGACGCCAGGATACAATTTCGTTATACCCTCAACATTGCTACAATGTTCGAAAAAACTCTCGGACGACACAGGGACGTTGCGCGCCTTTATTGCGACACTCGTAATTTCCTCGAAGCACTCAGAAGTACTTCCATGACCACAACAACATTGTTACATCTGTGGCAATTGCTTAGCGGACGTTTAGTACCGTCGCCTACGACGTTATTGCTACTCCGGAGATCCTCGAGCGAACCAATTGCGTAACATTGTTGCAAACTTGTCAAAGGAACACTCGAAAGCACTCCCTCTCTCTTTCTCTGTCAAGTTTCTCGATGAATTCCGTCGCGGTGTTCACGACTCTTCAGCCGCACGACTAAATGCTGGCCGTTTCTACGGGCAGCCTGTGTAATTGTCCTTGAAATTTCGCACCACTTGGCGGGGGTCACGGTGGCATCAGGGTGGTCACGTGAGCGCGTTGGATCCTGACAGCGACGACATACCTCTGCCACGAACGGTCAACGAGTTCACCCTGGCCAACAGCTTCTGGTTTACGGTCGGCACGCTTATGCAACAGGGAAGCGACCTCAACCCCAAGGTAAAACATGTCACAGGAAAAAACAGAGTCGGCAATGTTTCCACTGTAGAGATGTAACAACTGCTCGTACACAAAATACGATATCCTCACAGTACCGAGAAAAGAGAAAGAAAAAGAAAAAAACATACCAAGCTCGTTGGATACATTAATCATCGTTCCCTGAATAGAACACGACCAGAACATCATCGACCGAGAAATCACATTTTTTTCTCCTTTTTTGTGTTTTCTTCACGAATCTCCGGTCTCTCCATTACCGCACGAATAATTGAAAGAACAATCTCACCAGGTACAAACCGCGACGAATCGTGGAAAATTCACCGGTTGTCGAACACGTCGTTTCTTTTTCTTCTCTATAAATCAAGACCGAACGAAATAGGTAGCGATGATCGATAATGTGACTCGCTCGGATTAACAATCGAGCCGCGTTGCACGTGTGAATTCGAGCTTCGCTGCGAGTATGTAGAACGTCTCAACTAGAGTAGAGCTCTGTCGTGGCCTGCAAGTGAGCGAGGGTAGAAAAGCTGTAGGACAGTTTCATCCTGGCCCGGTTAAGCGAAATAGTTTACTACGTCCCTCTGGGTACACTTAATAATTCAAGATTAATAATAAGCACTCGTGGCCGTGATTTAAAGTCGAATAAAAGGACGACAGCGGGGGACGGGCGGGACTAAACAGCCGGGCAACAACGATATCGCAGGGCTGTAAAGTAACTTGTACCTCGTAACGACATTATCCGGCGTAAGGGCAGGCCGTTTAAAACGAGCTCGTGGAATTTCGTGGTGTTGTCATAAAGACCCCGTACGTGTGCAGGTGAACACTTACACACACATACGAGTGTAAGTATACAGAGCTTAACTGCGTGCTTAGGACCGGCCCACGGACCAGCCACGAAAAGCCTGGTTCGTTTTATTCACCAAACAATTACGCGAACAACGCTGTTTCTCCTTCCACTTATTTCATCTTTTTCTTTCTCCTTCGCTCTTTTTTCTCCTCCTTTTTCCCTGTCTCGTTCCAACCCCGCCTCCTCTTCGCCAACGTGTTCTCGTTGCTTTCTTTCCGCGTTTTCACCAGGAACGAATTTTCGTCCATGGTTTTAATCACGAGCGAAGGGTGCTCGACGCGTACCACCGGAAGTCGACTCTGTTCTCTGGCTGCGTATACCAGATACCTCGCGGAGGAGGGTCGAGGATGGTCGATGGAACTTTATCAGCCACGGTATCTCACGGGAAATGAAAAATGGAACGGTCTAGCGAGGGTCGCGTAGTGGTTTCACCGGTTCCAACCATTTTGTGGCGCCGTCGTTGATTGGTAGGTCTACGTCTGATTCTCCCTTTTTTTTTCGTTTTTTTTTTTGTATTTTTGCCTCGAGGAGGAAGTTGCGTTTCTCGTTCGCTCGCTGAGCGGGAAATTTGATTTCTATTCAAACGGAACTGCCCACGTGAACGCTTTTACAGTTATTTCCTAATTTTATTTTCGTATTTTGACGCATCGACAACCGAAGAATGTGAAAGTTTGTGAGAAATCGTACATCGAGAGAGTCGATCGTATACGGAGTCTAGAAACAGGTCGACAACGTGTCGAGAAATATTTGACAAATAACGATACGTTCCGGGGATTTGGAAAAACCTTCGGCCACTTGATATTCCATTATTTCTCCGGAAGTAAGCGGTTTCATTGTCGTGGTTGCTTCAAGGGAGTGCAGGGGACGATCCATCAAACGCGAGGCCGTAAAACACGGCGGTATCCAACGAGCTTGCCTGTTTAACAAACGAGAAACGGCGTATAAAACCGAGGAAACGTTTCAAGCACCATATGGGTACACCGTGCCACTCTAAAACTCTAGAGATGACGGGTATCAGAGAACAGATACGTTCTGGTTTAGATGTTCTACGGGTAGAACTGAAGGATCTTCGTCGAGTATCCTTCCAGCGTTGATTTTCGAGAAAAGAGAAACCAAGAAAAGCTAAAAAACATGTAAATTAAACGACGAAAGAACAAATTTCATTCGTGGTAGGAATATTTCATCGAGTTATCGAACAAGATCTTGTATAAGACGAAGGATCTAGTTTTCTTCACGATCGTGTAGCACGAGAATTTAAAGTAGACAATTGACGTCACTCTCGAGTTTAGTTGCGCCGACGAAACACGACGGAAATCTCGATAGAAATAGAAAACGCAGAGAGATCGCATGTCACCCCTGCATGCACATAGCAGCCAAGCACCTCACATTTCGTTAGCCTCATTTGTGTCTATGTCGAAACTCATCGATAGCTTTCGCTTCTTCCTTCTTGTAGCTTGATTCGAGAGAAAAATGTCCTTAGAACCTTTTGTCGCGCGTGTTCCTACATTTTTTCACGCGTTACATCGCGGGCTTAGGGTGGAAACGGAGTCTTCTTTCACCGGTGAAAGTTCTCCAACGATACTCAACTTTTCCCGCTCGACGAGTGAAAAGTCTCTCAGAATGGGGTATTTCTCGCGTGTACGGAAGTATTTTTCAATTTTTTTTTCTCTCTACCTCCCTCTCTCTCTCTCTCTCTCTCTCTTTCTCTCTCTTCTCGCGCATATAGGAAATTCTTCGAGTACGTGTATAGATTTTTATAGGGCAGCAGGACGCATAAACAGAGCGATAAACATTCGTACGGGGGCGGGTGCGATCGATAATACCGAGAACAACACATCCTCTTCTCGCGTGGTGCTTTATAGTCGTCGCGAAATGGACGACTTAGGGACTATGTACGACGATTTTACGCGTTACCGCCGCCGCCCCCTCCTCGAACGATAAAAATAAACCTGGACGCTGATGGAACTACGCGTAATCACTGTTTACGAAGTTACTTTCAGCGAGAAGGTAAAATGGTTTATATCACGTAAGTTGGCGAATTTTGTAGCACGGATTACACGATTTACGGCGCCTCGTAGAGATCGTGTGTCGAAAAGTGTGATCCAAGTAGATTTAAGCGAATCACCAGTTTAAATTGCACGAGATCATTTCACTTTTACGATTATTATGCATCTGATTAACCCTTACGTCAATAACCAGAATTGTCGTCTACTTTGTCGCCCAATTTTAGTAGCTTTCTGATAAGAAAATTCGAATCTTGAGGCAAACACGGATAGGAAATGTGCGAAATAACAACGATCTGGCCGGATCTTCAAATCTTTCACCTGGAAGATGAAACATTTTAAGCGAGAATTATGCAAAACGGTACCCGCGGTACCCGGTTATTGACATAAGGGTTACAGTAACTTTACACAGACGAAAATATTCAAGGATAAAAATGTGACTGATTACGAGAATCAGTCCATTACAACGAAACACTCGAGGAAGACAAAATCAATGTGCTCGGTAACTACCTCGTCCACAAATCGACCGTTTAAACTCTCCCTGAATTGAACATCCCGTCTAACTACGGGTACACGATGTTGGATAGAGGTGAAGATACTTTCTAACAATTGAGGAACACCTGTACGACATATGGTGCTAGCCGGCTCTGGTGGCATGTATGTACATGCGGGGTTGTCGTTGCGAACTTCGCGCGCGCGAAATCTGCTTGCTTTTAAGAACCTACTCCGACAATTTTCTCTAATACACACGCTCGACACGTTTCGAAACACTTTCGAGAAAGTGTGTTTGTACGTTAAGTGCTGTTTGCAAACGAATACACGCATGATCGCTTTGCCTCTCTCTCTCTCTTCACCTAAGAGACGTGTACCAACGGGGAGAAAAAAGAAAGAACGCGAGATGGAAGTTCCGCGTGAATTCCTAGCTGGAAACTTATCGTTTGAGAGATTTTCCAAGTCGTATCGCCGGTGGAACACGCGGAAACCGGTGGAATGGAGCAACGTAATCCTCGAGTTCGCGAGGATATTTGCCTCGACACCGCCGGCGATATGAATAAATATCAGCAGCCGGGCAATTTCTTTTTCGGGACCAGTCATTTCTACACCATTTTTCGCCGCGTTAACGTTCTCGACGATGTTCAAAGAGACTGTCACGCCTGTTTCTATAGCGGAGACTGTTCTTTTCAAGTGAAACTGATCGAGGCTGTTTTCAACTTGTTGGAAAAGGAACGAGGAATGTAATTTTCTTCTTTTTTTTTTTTTGATAGATTTAGAGGTTCGTTGTAATTGGAGAGAAATTTCTGAAGGGTTGGCGAGAAGTGTCTCGAGAGGTCGATGATCGGTTGGAAGATTGGCTAATGGATCGAAATATGCCATTAGGATGTTCACGGGCCGCAAATGAGACTGCATATTGCATTCTTCGAGCGGAGACGCGGGGCTCTTAAATTGTCGCCCGGCCTCGATGCTCCACTGACGTGGTTTCAATTGATCGTCGAGGCTCTTCATGGGCTTCCGCCTAGGAGATGCGCGATCGAAGCAACGTTTTGCGGGAAAGCTGATTACCCGACGAGTACGAGCACTATCTACGTGAACCGTGAGCCTCCTCGTCGTATTGCATCGTCGTGGAATGCTTAATTAACCACTGATTCTGCAATTCTTCAAACGCTTCGATATTGCGAAAATTGCAGAAAAATTTTCATGATCTTTACAATTCTGAAATTTGTGGATAATTAACCTCTGAATCTCTAATTCTTCAAATGCTTCAATACTGTGAAAATTGCAAAGAAATTTCCACGATCGTCATAAATTTCAAAATTTGTGGATAATTAACCTCTGAATCTCTAATTCTTCAAATGCTACTGTGAAAATTGCAAAGAAATTTCCACGATCGTCATAAATTTCAAAATTTGTGAATAATTAACCTCTGAATCTCTAATTCTTCAAATGCTTCAATACTGTGAAAATTGCAAAGAAATTTCCACGATCGTCATAAATTTCAAAATTTGTGAATAATTAACCTCTGAATCTCTAATTCTTCAAATGCTTCAATACTGTGAAAATTGCAAAGAAATTTCCACGATCGTCATAAATTTCAAAATTTGTGAATAATTAACCTCTGAATCTCTAATTCTTCAAATGCTTCAATACTGTGAAAATTGCAAAGAAATTTCCACGATCGTCATAAATTTCAAAATTTGTGAATAATTAACCTCTGAAGAACCTCCAATTCCAGAAACGCTTCAACATTGCTATGATAAATCTTAAAATTTATGGATAATAGTAAAAGTTCATAAATCTCAAGAAATTCCTCGTTTCGAAATGAGAAATAGAACACGTCTCAATTCGCGACAACCTGTTGTTTCGATGATCTACACCGTCCTTAGTCAAGAAGAATTACGGTTTCCAATGGAACG